CACGCGATTGAGTCATTCGGAATATTGCTGTATCAGGCGTGTAAACAATGTAAACTCCATATTTATCTTCCGATTCGTTTAATTAGATTCTATCATTGACAAGCGTGCCGTTATCAGCGATATTATCTTGATGTGTTGCGCTTATGACGCAAAGTACAAATCCAACAACGAATTCCTCGTATTTCATCGCAAATCACACACCGCGACGCACAGTTCTATGAATCGCAGATTCATCAAAGATCGTTAATCAATCATATCACGTATAATACCAAGAATAACGTTCGACATGTTGCGAACACGCTTCGGAATTAAGGGGAGAAATACATTTGTCGAGCAAATAAAGCGACACTTCCGCAATTCTTTCCACAAGTGTGTGTAAAATGGTGCGTTTCGCGTTTATCGCGGCCTTTTTTCCGCGAAAACGAGCAAATCGAACGAGAAACAGTTATCGATGCTTGTTGAGCGTGAACAATACGATAAGCTTTGATGGAATCAATCGCAGTAGCAATCGCGTCACAATCGATGGATGACACGATACGTTATATTATAACTGTATCTCCCGACCGTATAGTCGGTTGACGATTCGCCGCGCGTTCAAATATCAGAACTTACTTATATGATGTAAAATTAAATATAAATATAAATTAAATTAAATATAAATTTGTTTTTGCTATCAGGCGGTTTTTAATAATATACAACAACACATTATTGAGATAATGACAAGTTTTGTGTCTACGAATTACGTGAGCTTTTATTTGTACAGTTTTAAAATCGAAATAATTAAATCACGATTAAATCACGATTTTTTTTCAATAGAATACAATCTATATCTGTTGGAAAAATGTGATTTATGAGATAGTTTTTGTGTGTTTGCGTAGATAATTTTAGTTATTAGCCACACTCTATCGCGTTGTATGATAAAAAAAAAAAGGGAGAGAGAGAGAGAAAGAGAGATATCAAGTTCGAAAGATCACATTGTCGGGATGAAGAACCCAAAGAAGATACATCTGGCAAGAACGATGAGTGTCGTACAATCCTTTTAAGCTTATTACAAGACCGTAACAGGTTTATAGTATCGCCGGGCAAAGCGTAATGAAGTTCGCCGGATTTACGACGGGGGGTTGCACGGGCAGTTAAAGTAAATTTAGATAGTGAGTAAAGTAAATTCCATTGTATTTCGCGCCTCTGCCTTTTGCGGTCATATTTTAACCCCGCGCTGGGACACGGTTTTTCCATTTGACATATACATCTCGTCTAACTTTTTATTTCGGGAAATTCTAACATCATTCACAACTGATATCGAAATTTCGTTATATACATCGCGGGACGAACCAAACGTTGAAGAAAAAACGGAAATGTTAAAAATAAAATATTAACTCGCTCTTAAACTGTAAACTAAAAAATAGCAAAAATGCGGTTTTTTTATGTATGAATCCAATATTAAAAAAAAAAAACCTCTCCGAGTGCAACCCCGAGAACTCGGAGCAAATATTTGATAATAAAACACTTTGCGTTATTTTACGTAACATCTTTTTACCTCGTATGTGCGTTAATCGCATCGCAGTTTTCTCCGATTCACGTAATACCGCGTTTAGCAAAAAGCTAAGCAAACAGATCGAGACGCGATTGCGAAAAAGTAATTCCGCGAAAGGTGTCAATCGTCGATGCTTATGTCATCTCTTCCGCATAACGCGCACGCGCTCGATATAGCGCGGGAGATCGAATACCTTTGACAGATCGTCCGTAGCGAGCAATGGGTGGGGTGAGGGGAGGGGGGAGGAAGAGGGAGAATTCCACGCGAGAGCAATCAGCGAGGATTCCTGCCGGCTGACGAACGATCGTCTGACGTCTCCATATTCGCGCATAAAAAAAATATAAATTCCGGTTAACGAGAGAGAATCTCTCTCATTCGCGCGCTCGCTAAAAGCAATCTACAAAAAGAATGTCTTCGCACAAAAACAAACCATTAATATCGTCCTGTTGCGTAAAAGATATTCTTGGCAATTATTTATGTAAATAAATTTATGTAAATTACACTTTCATACACGTCATTGCAAATTACACGCGAATATATAAAATTTCTTAATTGTTTAAAATCATTTTACGAACGAAAATATAGAAATACCGCACCTTTTTTTTTTTGTACACGCAAATGTAAATCCCATCGCGTGTTTCCTCAATAGAAAGATCTCCGTAGATTGATAGCAATTTAGAAAAATAACACTTGTTATACACGTTCGAAAACGTTCGAAGCAGTAACAGAGAGATGTTTACGGAATAATAAATCCTCCTTCATTCTTCGTTTCTTTAACTTGTTCACGGACTTCCACGATCATCCGCGCGTGCTATTGTTTACACACAAAACAGCCGTCAAGTTCATCGCGCGTGTGTTTATACTTGTTTCAAAGAAACGCTAACAACAAGCGTTGTTGGGAGAGCTCTGCTATACTTGTCCTCGAGTCACATCTTATTTTCCTTCACTTTATAACCGCGTACATGCATATATCTATATATACATAGTCTTGTCATTGAATTACTTACAAAAAAAAAAAAAAAAAAAAAAAGTATCTTTTTTACAAATCTGTTGAGCTCGCATGTAGTTTTGTCTTGATATATTGCGAACCGCGTTATTCGAGCGGGAGTTCAACAATAACTCGTCAACAAATGCTAAAACAATTGTTAAAATTTAAAGAACGACGCGAGAGCATCTCCTTCAAGTTTTAGTGCGCTCAAGAGTCCCGAACGAGTTGCGTCAACTCGAGTGAATTTCGCGCAAAGTGCCATTCTTTTAGAAAATATTTGCGAGCATTGCACTCTGTGAATCGAGCTTGCGATTCTCCGGTCGAGAATCCCTTCCACGAATAGGCGACAAATCGAGAGAAATTCCGACGATCCCACTCGCGGCCGATTCCGGCTTTATACGGCTTGGCGGTCGCTTCGTCCGTCACCGTGTCACACCGGCTTGTGCTCGCTCGTTCTTCTCCCGTGTGTCTTCTTCTTGGCGTAGCGTGAAAATAGCCCAGCGTACTTGGAATATCGCGTGGCCTACGCGCTAAGCATGCTAAACCGGCATCGTCGTTCGACGCGGACGTACGTGCGTGCGTGCGTGCGTACGTGCGTGCGAGAATACGAGTGATCGTACCAACAAAACCGGCCATCGAACGCACCTCGCTGCTAGAAAGTATCGATAACTTTCTTTGGATATTCGCTTATTTACATACTAGATTTTACGGCGTGTCATCGATAAAAATATTATCTTTTGAGACAGTTTTTTTGAGAATAACAAATATTAATATTACATTTTTGAAATGAATGAAACAACATTCTTAGGGGAAGAACTTGTTTAATTAAATTTTTAATATCTACAAACTTCTTCTTTGTAACAATCGAATGTTTTGTAAACTGCGTGATAAAAATCACACTGGTTTTATTTTGCTTTTAAATTTTTAAATACTCCACAAAGGTTTTCGAATCGTACGTTTAAATGGTTACTAATATGTCAAAAGATTTCGAGGAAATTCCTTACAAAGAGAAGGAAGATTGTTCAGACCGAACAGACGGGAAGAAACGGCTCATTTGTTTGCCCCCTTGCGTGTGCATTCCAAAAATGATTTTTTCGCATCCGATTTTATTCTTCTACGTCGCGTGACTGTTTTCGAATGCGTTTTGGATAAATACTCGCTCTGCAACTTGTCGTGTTTATTTTTCAAAGTTCACACGTACTCGTTTGACCAGAGGTAACCGACCAGCGTCAGATATCAGAGAAGTCCGCGATTAATTATAACGGCAAAATGTTTAATCGCGGGTTATTTGTAATTTGCGTGCCGATTCTTTACAATCTAACGGATGATGATGAAATTTTCATTCAGTAATATTTGATCGACTTTATCAAAAGAAAAAAAAACTGCAAAAAAAAAATTATAAAGATTACACGTAACACACACAATATTTGTTCCTATTTTTACGATTCTACTTGCGATAAGAGATCAGAGACTTTATTTTTCACAGAACTCGCATTTTTTTTTTTTGTAAACAAAGCTGTTTCTCGTAAATATCGTTTAGCGAGTTAAAAATAAAACACGAGTGCGGGTTTGTTAAGAGATTAGTCAAGACTGCATTGCACACTTTCAAGGATGAAAACGTTTAGTCAACGGTGATAATGCCAAATGATTGCCGTCGATTATCTCTGTCTCTCTCACTCCGAATATTGAATACCACCGAGTAGTCTGGGGCAAAAACGTTTCTCGAGTAAAGACGTCTTATATCGCGTGCAATGCGCGTATAGTCGGAAGGTCGAAATTACTATCGCGTTCGCGATGCGCCCCCACACACGTGGTCTGATTTGCGATAAGAGACGAGGATAGAGAGAGAATAGCCTAACGCCCGACACGGGGAAACTTCGACGTAACGATCGCGGTATCTCTCGTAAATTTTTACAACGCGATCGTAACGCCGTTCACAATATACGGAACTGGTCGGGGAAGAAGCATCTCCAATCTCATCGTCTTTCTCTCGCCTGCGACTGCACTCGACTTTCCGAGTATCACGAAAACATGTTGGTATCGAGGCGATGAGATCGCAGGGAAGAGGAAGGGAACGACCGAAAAAGGAGAACGAAGTGGCGTCCGTTGAGAGGGAGAAAGAAAGGAGTCCGGAGTGGTAAACCGGGAGAGGAGGACGCGGATCGGAGAGCGCGCGGTCACAATGCGCGAATGAACAAGAGAGAAAGAAGAAGCCAGAGAACGAGCGGGAGAATGAGGGAGAGAGAGGAGAGAAGGAAAGAGAGGAGGAAAGAGAGAAAGAAAGAGAGAGAATGAAAGAGAGAGAGAGAGAGAGACAGAAGCACTGTTGTCGCATCATATCTCGCGAGTATACGGGGTCAGAGAGAGGAAAAGAGGGACAAACACGCCGCGCGCGCGGAGTGTAGAGGCAAGCGGGAAGGGGGTGGGGTCGGTAGTGAGAGGGTAAAGCGGGGAACCGCGGGGAGACTCATGGTTCACCTGTCGTCATGGCAACGCCGCTTCGCCGCTCACTTGTTACTCCATCGGCATAGCTCGGCCCTCGGCAGCGGTCCTCTCGCAGCCTCCGCAGGAATACGAACGCGAGTCACGATCCATCGCGTGGGACAGAGAGCGAGACGACGCCTCCTCTCCGACGAGCGCTCGTCTCTCGCCTGCTCGCCGCCGCGATCACTCTGCCTGCCTCCGAGGATCGACGAACCCTTCTCCTTTTCCGACAGATACGGCCGTAGGAAAAAAAAACAAAAAAAGAAAACAGAAAGAACAGTCGCGGAAAAGACACACAATCACTCACTCTCTCTCTCTCTCTCTCTCTCTTTCTTTCTCTCCGCCACTATAGTATCCACTATGCAGATTTATCACAGAATGCGCACTCCACTGCGAGATGATACACGCGCGCGTGTATATTTCGTAAATGTATATATCCTCGTTATGCTTCGGTTTTTTGAAAGTAAGAATCCGTTCCGCGAACAACTGCGGTTCCCAGGTGTGATGATGAAAATATATATGCTTGTTTTTTTTTTCTTCTCTCACACCCGCGAAGAAGAACTTAGAATTCGAACGTATCACAGAAACATATAACGCGCGGGGAAGAATTGCCGATTCGCTTCACTCGCTTGTCCTCCCGCCGCGTACTTAAGCCGAAGTCATCTCTTCTATTTTAAGCTCCGTATCCTCTATCTTGTCTTCCCCTCTCTTTCTCTCTCTCGCGAAGCGATATTCACGCACTTATCCACACACACGCACACATATATAATATATGTATATATATATATATATATACACGTACACAGAGATAATGCACGCACAGAACGAGAGAACCGTGCGGGCGGTCGGGCACTGTAATATATCGATACACGCACCAAGAGAGCGCGCGGCGCGACTTGTCTTCTCTCGTTATCCACTTATTACGAGCGCGTCAATCTGTTTGCTATGCAAATCCCGTCTGACCGGTGCTGACGTAGTGAAGCGACGACGGCAATGACAACAGGCTCGAAAACGGCACCGTTGACGGCGATATCTCTCTCGCTAATGCATACGGCCGCGCGCAGTTAGTCATTGCCGAGCGACATACGCAGAGAAATGTAATCGGCTGGCGCGCGATTCCACGGGGTCTCCTTATCCCCACCGCGTAGCGGCGACACGACGACGGCTACGACGATACACGAGCAGCAGCAACACACAGAGCAGGCACACACAACACGGCGATACTACCGCACGGTCACCACTACCATCATCATCGCCGCTACTACCATCGCCGGGCGATCGCGGCGGCTACGACGACGACGACGGCGACGGCGACGGCGACGACGACGACGACGTGTCGGGTCGGCGCGTAAACGCACACCGTGCGAGAAACTCCGACCGCGAATTCCCCCGACCGCGATCTCACTCGTCCGGTGACGTCATTGGCGCCTAAACGCGTCGTTGTGCGCTTCGGGAAGGGAGGGGAGGGAGAGAGGCGATTCTCTCGAGCGTCCCAAGAGAGAGAGATCGGTAGCGGGCTCCTCCGACCGATCTATCGCACGACACGATGTGCCGCGACCTCGTTACTGCAGATCGTATATGTGTGTATATACGTATATATGTTTACAAGCGAGTTTTGTATATTTTAAGTGCGAGCGTACTACCGCTGATTCGCGTCTCGTGCTTTGCCAAAGAACATCGACGATCGCAAGTTTCTCTCTTATTTCTTGATTTATTAAGAAAAGGCGGCACCGAATACCTCCCTCGACGTTTTGATTGGTCTTACACGGAATGATCTACGATCGATTGGCGGCTTCCTTTGCTATTCTCGTGGCCGCTCGTACTCGCCGCGCGTGTAACTCCTCTCCTCGCTACTGTTCCATTCATCGAGTCGGTAGATGAGACGAGTGTAGATACCGGGATCTGTGTTATAAATTTTCTACGTTGTGATCGGTGTGTTTTTTTCCGATACGCGGTATTTGCTGAAACGCGACACTCGCGAGTTGCCGATTTCTTCGGTCGCTCTTTTTTTTTTTTTTTTTTTCAACAAAATTTTCTTTCACCGTTATCATTAAATAATCAAACCAACACTCTGCACGTCAATTCCACAGGTTTCCCTCGTTGAGAGGCGCGTCGGAGTCACGCTTTCTCGTTTCTGATCACGATCAATCGAAATTCCACTCGTTCCTTCTCTCTTCGTGCGTCCCGCGTGCGTGACGTTCGTCAAATTTTCACAATCACACGCTGTTTCCACACGCACCTCCCTTTTCGCACTTCTCACTTTTCGAATTGCGCTCTCGATCGCGCTCGATTCCCGCAAAACACACACCACCGCTGCACTTCGCGCGCACGCAGCCTCTTTTTCCAACTCTCTTTCTCACTTATTCTCTCGATTTCGGATCGCAACACACACTCGATCCTAAAATTTCACTCGAGTTCGAATTCGTGATTTTTCTTGTTTTGTTTTTGTTTGTTTTTTTTTTCAACGATCGTTTCTTCTCTCTCTCTCTCTCTCCAAGTTTTATATCCGCTTATTTCGCCACACGCGAATTTCTCTCACACACGTCGTTGTCAACAAGTGATTCCCTAGAACGCGAAGCGGGTCGGCGCATCACACACAATCCACGATGTCGCGTTGCGATGCCGCACGCCGCTACACCTCCTCACGGCGTTGTTATTGTTGCGTAACTGGCGGGTCCCGTGTAGCTGGTTAGCTCCGCAGCCGCGCTGCGAGACGGTCTATGGAGTGTGGTAGCGGCGTGGTGAGGCGAGGGACGAGGATTGGGAAGGACAGAGGAAAGGGAAGCGAGAGTGAAGGAGAGGAGCGGCGCGGAGCGAGGCGCTCTCCGTGTATAATCCGTGCGCCAGTGGGCGAGTACGCAACGAGGGAGAGAGAGGAGCGTGCGAGCGGTGCGCCGTCTGGCGTGACTGGCGACAGTCTACTGCTTCCGAGAACCATGAGGCGAGATTCCGTGTATCGAACGCGCAAGCACAAGAGGGACGTTTGACGACGGGCGGCGGTGTGGGAAGGGAGAGATCGGCGCGCGATTCTCTCCGTGGGTAAGATGGGCGCGGAGTCCGAAGCATGAAGCGGGGACGAAACGAATATAAGAAAGCTCTCTCGCGAGCAGTTGTAAAAGAGCAAGACAGAGACGGACGTTAGCTCGGAGAAAAGAGAGGCACGCGGGAGGGAAGCAGACGCGAGACATGAGGTTCCTTCTCCAGGGACGCAGATATATATATATATATATATATATATATGCGCGTTTTCTCTTGTCTGTATGCGCGTAAAACACACTAACGAAAGAAGGGAGAATCGGTCGCGTTTTATACGTCACATTGGGAGAGACGATAATGAGGGTTTTAACCGTGGCCTTGTTGCCGTCATCGGCGTCGCGCGCGAAATGGAAAATTCGCCGTGAAATTACGCTCGAAGAGCGATCTCAATGTGCGTGCCACTTCTTTTCTTTTCTTCACGTATATCGGCAAACGAGAGAGTAGAAGCTCGTCGGAAACTTGAATGATTCTATACCGCCAAACGCGAAATTCGTATCGTTATACGTATTTTTTTTTTTTTTTTTTTACACAAAAACGCGCGTAATTTACCTGTTTCTGCGGCGCGCATTTGTAACCGTTTCGCAAATCGCCTTCTCGTATGTTTTCTTCCCATTAGACTTCACTCAAGTATCAAGATTAGTGACCGTAGTTGATCGTCCAATTTACTCATCGTAAGGGAATTCCTTCTCCGCGATCGGATAAACAGTCAATGAAACGGCGAATTAAAGGCGAAGTTTTTGGGAGATCCAGTTTTTTTGACGGCAGCACCCAAACAAACCGCTAAGTAAAAAAAAAAAAATGAAAACCTTGCAGACGTGGAACTCTCAAGAGAGAGATAATCTGCCTTATCTATACAAAATCGTTGGCTGACTGGAGCAGGCAAGGTATTTTTTTTTTTTCTCTCTCTCTTATATCTCATATCTTCCAACAACTTCGCCGCAGAGAAGAACAATTGTTATCTCGGTGTACGTGGTACTCTTTCACAATTCTCGACATATTGTTATTTACAGGGTATATAGTCAGATAGATAAAAACTCTCGAATAATAATTCTTCTTTTTCTCGCTGAAAAATACTCAAAACGCACAAGATCGTAAAGTTCAGCGGTACATATATGTTTAGATGTTCAGAAGTGATCTTGCGACGTTCTTTTTACACATTACAGACAAGAGCTTCTTCGCGCGTTTAAAATTTACATTATAAAATAGCATGGAATATACAGCGGAATTGAATTATTCGCGACTGTGTCTGTGTACAGCTGATAAAATTATAGCGTGACACTATCGTGTACCTATCTACGCGAGTAGGGGAGACTGATGGGGCTGATTGTGACACGCGGGTAAAAAGTTACAAGCTTTGATTAGTGATAAAAAATAAGTGCTACATTACAAAGCTAAAAAGAGACAAACGCGACAACTGTCACGCGTCACATGCGTCATTAACATTATCGTTGTTGCAATTATTTTTCATCGCTAATTTAAGGTTGTAACTTTTTGCCCGTGTCACAACCAGCCCCAGTCTTTCCTATGTCAGTTTCGTTTCGTCAGCGTCTAATGCTGGGAATAGACTATGCGCGCATTCGCGATTCGCGATTCGTGATTCGCGATTATACAAACACACTTTTTGCGTGTATTCGCGTGACTACTACGTAGCTACGTAGCGCATCGCTACGAATCGCGAATCACAAATCGCGAATGCGCGCATAGTCTATTCCCAGCATAAGCGGCACTCGCGTCACGAGGTTTATTTGGAGGCGCACGTTATTATCCGTCGACATCGTCGTCTGCGATTTTTCGTTTGACCTCCGTTGCAATTAACGGTGATGGCGATTCGTCATTCAAGGACAATCGGGCGGACGTATAATTAACGATTTCGCCGCGCGGAGCACGAAAGAGTTTCTTCTCGACACACGCATTGGAAACATTCATCGATCGCTCGTCTCGAAACGCAAACGGTCGTGTTGTTGTTCTCACGCACACTTACAAGCCGTCGTGAGCGATCACGACTTGCACACACGATATCACGCGTGTGTGCAACAAGTTACTTTCGTTAATTGAACGCAATGGAAGAAGAGACTCTGCCGGAATATAAAGTTCAGCTAACAGTAACATTGTTGTTTTTTTCAGTTTGCGAATTTATTTTTTTATATACTGCACGCACACACACACACGACAGACACAATAACATATACACACAACTAAGTATGTTATTGGAAAAAAAAAAAAAAACTACCGTTAATTGTTCAGAGAACTTTGTTGCATACAGATTCATTTTATACAGAGACCGGCGATATAGCCGGGAGATAGTAGAAACACGAACTAGGTGAGGTATAAGCAATTGGGGAAACTTCTGTCCTTCCAGGAAATCCCTGGCCTTCGATACTAACTTTAGGCTTTCCCCCATAATTATCTTTTTCCACGTATTTCCAGATTCCACTCGAGTCGGTTTCCCGTGTAACAGTATAACGCCCGATATTGTCTCTCTCTCTCTCTCTCTTGTCGATTATCGAGAAAAAAAAGAGAAAAGAAGCAAAATAAATCGCGAGAATGGAAAATTTGCTCAAGTTAAATTCCGTATTGTTGCGCGCAACGCGAATATGTGTGTTTCACGTTATACGAAACTCACGGGTCACACAGGTTCTACAAAATATAGGTTAAACACAGTCGGCAATTGCTGTCAGATTATGCCGTTTCAGCGTAGTATGTGCGGCATATGTAATCCGAGTGTACGTACATACATATAATCAAATGTTTGCAATAATACACTCGCAAGATTCGATTTATCAATTTATTTCGTTCTCGCTTTCGTTTAGATTCTGATTTTTGATTATTGCGACAAAATTGTCTACATCATCGTCCAAACGCATCGTCAGTTTGGTAGCACGCGCGAAAGTGCTGAGGAACGTCGCGACGGAGAGGTTGTCGCCGGATCGCGTTACGTCCAAACTTCACTTTTTTTTGTCACAAGGAAATTGAGATTACGAATCGACGGTAAAATCCGATGTGTGTAACAATAACGATCTTTATCTCGCACCCTACTTCACGCGACGGACAAGCACTGTTTTTTTTTTTTCGAAGAAGAAAATCGAACACAATTTCGCGCGACGCAAACACTTGCATTTTGAAATTTGCAAAATAGCCCCGTCCGAGAATTGGAGAAAAGAAAGAAAGTACGCGTCGAGAAACCGACAAAAATTTCTTCTCGGTCTCGGTTTTTTTTTTTTTTTTTTTTTTTTTTCCA